AAACAAATTTCTACCACCACCTTTAGCAAAGAAAGTGAAAGTGGTGAAAGAAGAACTGTTTTTGTTTGACTTCATGACCTTACAATAATTAACATTTTCTATTTTTCATAATCTCACTTGTTTAAGAAATGCAAGAGTTTCAATTTCATTGATTCCTAGAAAATATCAGTTAAATAAAAGTTCATAAAAAAGTTATGGTAAGGGATGGGGAGGGGGAATACATAAACATACCTAATCAAATATTAAGAAACACAGAGAAACATGTTATGTCTGTATAAAAATGAATGTAAAGTGTAAATTCTGTGTATGAGAGGTACCTCAGGTTTTTTCTGCTGTCCCCATATGGCTAGAAGTTTTCCATAACCAATTTTTTAATCAATTTGATTAAGCTGCATGCTTATAAATCCCCTTCTTCCACCCATACTAAACCCTTCTCTTGATGATTGATGCGGCTTCTTTCTTTTCTCTGGGTTGATATGCCACTTCAATATTTTGCTAGAATTGTAGTAAAAGACCATTGGCAAGAATATCATATAAGGTATTTCTCTTCCAATGTTGCTTTCAGTGTCTCTTCCCTCTCTCTATTTTGCTTCTTTGTATGCTTGATGAGTGTATAATATGTTTCGTCCAAAGATCATGCAGGGCTTGAAGCTGAAGGAGAGTACGATTATGAGAAAGATATTAAGCATTGATAGCTTCAAAGGAGAAAACCAGAATTCATCAGAGGCCAGAAAGGAAACTCCTAGTTTGAATCAAGCATCTGCATACTCAAGAAAACGTTTTTATCAGCAAACCAAAAAGTATGAGGTCATAGTAGTATAAATTCTTGAACAGATTTTTCTATGGCACTTTAATCCTTTTCTAGCTATATATCACCTTTGATGCAACTCTGATTTTGGATATTAACTTGCACAAGGATCTTTGTTGGTTCCTGGAATATTGGAGGCATTACACCACCCAAGAACTTGGATATGGAAGACTGGCTTGACACAGAAAATAATTCAGCAGATATTTATGTTCTGGGGTAATAATTTTCTTTTGATAATTAAAATTATACGTGAGAGTCAACTGCATAGAAACTAAACTGCTGGATTCCTATCATTTCATCATGTGTGATATACTAGGTTCCAAGAAATTGTACCTCTAAATGCAGCAAATGTACTAGGTCCCCAAAACAGAAAAGTTTGTACGAAATGGAATTCTCTAATTGGAGCAGCCCTTAACAATAGAACACCAACAAAGGTGGTTGAAGGAGATAAAATAGCTGAATCACAGAAGATATATCCTTTGAAGGAACATATTTGTGCAGAGGGAGAACATCAACAAGATTTTCAGTGCATCATAAGCAGGCAGATGGTGGGAATGTTCATAACCATATGGGCTCGATGTGACCTCTATCAAACAATCAGGCACTTGAGTGTTTCATCTGTTGGCTGTGGAATCATGGGCTACTTCGGAAACAAGGTTTGTTTTGACATGTTACAGAGAATAGAATGCATGTTTTTGTTTTCTTTAACTAAATAAATAGCTGTTTGAGAATGCAGATGGCAGTTTTGAAACATTATATGAATTCTTAGTTCTTTTATTGATCTTAAAATACAGGGTTCGGTATCAATCAGATTTTACTTGCATGAAACAAGTTTCTGCTTTGTATGTAGTCATCTAGCATCTGGTGGAAAAGAATCAGACCGAAGACAAAGAAACTTTAATGCAACAGATATTTTGTCCAGGACAATCTTCCCCTCTGGGCCTCTGCAAGATAGGCCTCAAAAGATTATTGATCATGAGTAAGTGCATACTAGATTGTGTAAATTTTACACTTTTTTTAAGACCACAGATATATTATCATTCTATATGAGATATGTAACTGTTTCCAGTTCCTCGAACTTTGGTTTTGATTGAGGAACATTTACGTAATCCATTACACTATTCAAAGTATCCTGTGTAGTCGGGGTATAATCAGTTTATATAAGTAGAACACATTCAACAGAACTTCATCTAAAATTGGTACCTGGTCCCATGCAGCCGAATAGTTTGGCTAGGAGACTTGAACTACAGGATTTATATGCCAAGCTCTACAACACAGTCACTGATCAAGAAAAGAGAGTGGGAAACCTTGTTGAAATATGATCAGGTAATGCTCATCTCACTACTTGCATGACAATATTTTGGATAAACTAATACAGAAGTTTCATATCAATGTAACCATATACTCCTTACTTAGAGGTTAGTTTTGTGAAATTAATCCCAAATTTTATGTTGGTAAAAGAGTTATATATTGATCATAATTCTAGTTGATGGTCCAAAACCACAAAATATAAAACAACACTCCTCATTTTATAAATCAATTTTGCAAAATTTAGGGTTTACTTAGGTCTTAAGTCCAATTTCGAATTGAAAGTTACCACTGTTTCTGAGTTCAAATTCAAAACAGTTTAAGGTAACGGTTTTTATTAATTAGTCACTGTACTGTTTTGAGTTCAAGCTTTTAAACTGAACGCAAATTATGTATAGCTCAAGCTGGAGCTCATGGAGGGCAATGTGTTCCAAGGTTGGCATGAAGGAGCTATAGAGTTTCCACCTACATACAAATACCGGCCAAATTCTAAAGATTATCTAGGTTGTGATGAGCAGCATACAAGCAAAAGGGGGCGTTCTCCAGCATGGTAAGCATACATTAAATAATTTGGTAGATTCTCAGGTCCCTTAAGAACACGATGGTGCACTAGAAATAAAAGACAAACTTCCTTTAGTGGGCCATGTTACTACTTTTACATGCCATGGCATTGACATGTTCTTTAGGACAAGGCGATCACTCAAAGCCAGCCACACTTCAAATGCCTTTATATGATCTATTAGCAAGCATGGGATACTCTAACAACACGATGGTATTGCAGGTGTGATAGAATAATATGGTTTGGGAAGGGAATGAGGCAAATCCAATACAACAGGAGTGAGTCAAGACTCTCTGATCATAGACCTGTACGAGCAATGTTCACAGCAGACATCAAGGTGGCAGTGAATTGAACATGATTCAAAATGTTATAACAAAAGCATTTCGTCCAATAGATTTCAGTTCTAATTATGCCATTTCTCAAATGAGGTCTACCCTTTAGGATCCCAAGACATGCGTGTGGTAGGTGAATTGTGAGACTTGATAATTTTTGGTTTATTTTTGGCCTACTTTTTGTGTTAGAGAATACATAAGAGGCCTGAGAAAGAGTTGCTCTCTATTTTTTTGGAGGGAGAAAAGGGGGACCAGCTGATGCAAAGCATAGTAATTTGCCATGGTTGTAATTTTACCTCATACAAGAAACTGGTATTAAGATTTTAAATTCAATATTCCGATGTTATATATTTAAAATTCACCCAACCCCAAAACCCCATCGGTTAATTATTTCCGAATACATCAAGATTAAGCCATTTGATGAAACTGCATAAATTATTGAATGACAAAAACTTACAACATAAAAGGAAAATTAGGCGTCATTTGTCTTGCCTCCCTCACTGTCTAACAATACTTGAGCATTCAAATTCATGTAAAATATGAAACTAAAGCAGTAATTATTAACAATTAACAATAAAATGCAAAACATGGTAGAAGAGTCACTAACAATTGCATCTCTAGACCTAGCTTAAGACAGAAACCTTGATATTGAAATTGGGAGTTTGAGGGATGTTACTCCCATCCAAGCATGGGAAAAAATAGGAATCAAAGAGATAGTAACTTTAAGAACTATATATTATAACAATAATCGTAATTGGCATGAGAAAGAAAAAAACTTGTATCAAACCCCAGTGTATAGAGCCAGACTCTACTAACAGGCTGGCCACACGATTTTGAATATACACGGTTATGTTCAAACAAATTCCTTTATTGTTCGAGAAAGAGATGATAAACAAGTTTTTTGGTGGTAGCATTTGCACAAAATTCTTTGCCTTTCATCACTTGAAGTTATTTATTGATATTGAAATATCAAGATTTTCCAGCAAGCCCTGGACAAAGACATTACAAGTGCGCTATCATCAATAAGTCTTCAGGAGCATTGAATAGTCCTCTTTTACATAATCATTAATCATTATCTTATAGGTAACATCAATTTTCAAACCTTTAGCAGGCAGAGAAGAAAAGAGTTCCATTGCATCACTTAGCTTTCCAAGGCTGCATTCTATGAGCATAACATAAGTTACAAATATTAAGATCCAAATTCATCTTCTCCATTTTCCTAAACAATGATGCAGCCTCAGCTAAAAATGGCACTTAAATGGCCATCCAATATAATGGCATAAATTTGGAGATCAGGAAGTTGCTCATGCTTGTGCATTGTACAAAATTTTTTTACAGCTACTGGTTTCCCACCTTCGTACCCCCAATAAGAGTTATTCAAGTGACGACATCAGGATTTAGTCCAGTATTAATCATGCCATCCAAGAAATGGATTAATGAATTGTAAGTTACAACATTTGGTGAGCAGCCCTTGTAAATCATTAAATGAAATACTTTTTGTTGGAAACTTCACATCTACCTTAATTCTCAGGGTGCGAGTTAATATACTTGTTGAGCAATTTTGCTTTATGTCAATTAGTTTTAAGGTTAATTTTGCTGCAACTCTATTGGTTAACGTTTTCAGAAAGGGAATCATGCCAGATGTGCAAACTTTTAGTGCCATAGTTGACAGATTTTTCATAGAGGATCTGCTTTCTATGGCAAAAAGCACAACTAGGTTTCATGGTTCATAGGGGGTGGACCCTGATTTTTGCATCTTCTACATCAATTATTAGGGTTCAATGTTCGCAAAATTTGATGAAAGACACCATAAAAAGTGTCAAAATGCATCTTAAAATCAATTAGCAAAATGAAGTTGCCCAACAAATATATAACCCGTACCTCAAGTACCGAGGCAAACGAGATGGGATTTCCAAACACTTCCTCTCCACAGATGCCTTTCAGAACAGACAATAGACTATTACCATGATAAGCTATAGGTTTGGTTGAATGGCTTTACAAGTCATTTCCAACCACAAATTGCAAGCCTAACATACCTTGCTATCCTCCCAGAGATTGCATTTAATTGTTCTGTAAGCTACAATATCCACATTGCAACATCTTTCTTCCATTTTCTTGAGTTGAGACATCTGATAGCAACACATGTGTTCTCCCATCTTCATATTAATAACGTCATTAGCATCTCTCTCACTCCAAAACAGGTATAATTTCTGTGGAAATTGTGAAGGTGGGGAAAGAAGAGAGCTGGTCTTTGTCACTACATACATGCTACTTTGACTAGTTATTCAAAGGCTTACTTATTGATTACCGCCTGCAAAACGAAACTTGATTTTGTTCACAAACTGCAAACATGAAGTGAATAAAAAATGTGTAAATGATTGAATGGTTTTTCTAACCTTACTGCTTTTGAGCTTCTTCCCTGTGTGATAAGTATACTGTGGCTGGAACTACTTCGATAGAATCATTGGAGGGTCTTGGGGTCTGTAGCCAATCGGCTTTGAAGAGTCAAATCTGACAGCATGGCTAGAGCCAATAATGTAGGTTATAAGAATTCACATTGGATATTTTAATACAGGAATACACCCATTATGCAATCAAGATATTGACTTCTTTAACTTATTTCCAGGAAGTATGGAGAAAACATAAAATATTTTTGGTAAGAATATAAACAAAAAAAAAATATTAGATTGGCAATAACAACATGCAACAATGTCAAGTTTTACATTAATTGTTGCATTATTATATAGGTTATTCACAAACCATTCAGGTTGCATAAACACTGTCTGCGGGTATATCAAGAATACAACGGAAATGAGGAAGGATCAAAGTCATATCAACATAAAAATTGTTATCGTCTAGTGATAAGAACGCATTAGAAGTTAAAACACATTTTTAAAGAAAAACAACATTTTACTGTAGTGTTTCTATTTCTCTGGCCAAAACGATACAGGCATTTCTCAAATATTCAAACAAATTCAACATTATTAAGTATAATTCAAATAAAAACTAGAGTAACTGACCTTATTGTATCATCTTACAAGGCCTCCATCCATTGACCACTTCATGTAAAAGTTTCTCTTCCATTGATTTAATGTTGTTTTTCAGAAGAGCAAGAATTTTCTCAGCTTTTAAAGCAAGTTCACCATTCATCCAACATTTTCTCTTCAGACAAAGCCCATTCATCACAGTGGTATATTTTTGGACACGTGAACAACATCCTTTAATCAAAAGATACTTGGAAATTTCTGTGCAGTATATAGCGTTACAATTTCATACAAACCATCGGTAAGTATAGTTATGCAAGAACATAACAACCAGCTCTTCTGTCAACAGTAAGTTGAAGCATGGCATTTGCTGTGAAGATGCATGCGCGGGCAAAGTGCATCGATGTAATTGACAACATCAGGGGGTGGAGCATTGCCATGTATCTCACTAAGAAGCTGCCACGCATACGAGATTCTCCCAGATCTGCACAAGCCATCAACAAGAGAAATATAAGTTATGGTATCAGGAACCAAATTTTTTACATGCATTTCTTTTAAGAGATTAACGGCTTCATCTATCCTTTCACTCTTGCATAGTCCATTAATCAAGATGGTATAGCTGCAAACATCAGGTGCCAAACCCCTCCTAATCATTTGGTTAAACAAAATAATTGCTTTATCAAGACGTTCACTTTTGCATAAAGAATTCAACAAGGTACTGTAAGCAATAATATCAGGGGGTAGACCATTATGGTGCAACTCATTCAGAAGCCTCCACGCAGACAACAATCTCCCAGATTGGCACAGTCCATCAATAAGAGAAGTGTAAGTCACAATATGAGGAACCAAATTCCTAAAATGCATTTCTTTCAAGAAATTCATGGCCTCACCTATCCTCTGATTCTTGCAACAACCATCAATCAATATACTATAACTCCAAACATCAGGTGCCACACCCCTCTTCAGCATCTGGTTAAACATCACAACCGCCAGATCAAGACGTTGCCTCTTGCACAAACCATCCAACAAGATACTGTGAGTAACAACATCCGGCGTGACACCACTCTCACACATTGCCTTAACAATTTGCCAAGCATACGCCACCATCCCACATTTACAAAAACCATCAACCAACAAATTATAAGTCACAAGATTCGGAATCACACCCTTCCCACACATTTCATTCAATAACATCATTGCATCATCCAATCTCCTAACCTTGCAATACCCATTCATCAAAACATTATAACTCCAAACATCCGGCCGTCTCACAACTGCATCAAACAACCTCCTTGCCTCATCCACTTCGTTCTTCAAACAATAGCCCGCCATCAAGGCCGTGCACACAACAACATTAACCTCAACACCTCTCTTAATCATTTGATCAAACACCTCCTGCGCTTCCACCACCATTCCTTTCTTACACAACGCATCTATCAAAACACTAAACACATAAATATCAATGTACACACCCTTCGTAATCATCCCCTCCACCATCCGAACCGCCTCGTCTAACCGTCCCGCGACACACAACGCTCTCACAAGAGGCCTGTAAGTGAACACATTAGGCTCAACATTGTTACCAACCATTTCATAACACCACTCACACGCCTCATTGACAAGTCCTTCCTTACACAAACCCTCTATAATTCTACTATACATAATCACATTAGGCTTAACATTAGGATCGCAAGCTTGCATCATTCTCAACAATCTAATAGCCGCTTCTGTTTTCCCTACATCGCAGAGTCCGTTAATTAACGTTCCGTAGGTGACTTCGGTGAACTCAAACCCCTCCGCCGCCATTTCCTGATAGAACTTGAGCGCCGAAGAAACGGCGCCGTCAAGGCAGAGGCCTTTGATTAAGGTGTTGAGCGTGACAGCGTCATAGGGGAGGCCGCGCTTGAGGAGCTTTCCGAAGACGGAGAAGGCGAGAGCAACTTTGCCGACGTGGCAAAAGCAGTTGATGAGGATGGTGAGGGTGACGTGGCAAGGGATAACGTCGCCGCGGGACTCCGTTTGGGCGCAGAGAGAAATCGCGGCGGGGAAGCACTTCGCCCTGGCAAAGGAGGCGAGGACTCGGTTGAACGCGGCAGCGCGTGGGGGAGAACGCGAGTGAAGCTGGCGCGTGAAGGAAGATAGCCGTAACGCTGTCTTCATTTTTGGCTCGGGACGAGACTTCCTTCGAACCATAACACTTTAGTCCGCGAGCTTGCGTTTCAAACTATGGAGGGAGGAGAAACCCGTAGGACGACGTCGTCTGGTCTCTGTAGCTACGGTTTTAAAATGGAATCATTAACGTGTTTAATTAGAAATTTGGTTTTTTTCTTATCATTGATTAGTTTTAATTTTTATATTTATTTTTATTTAATTGGTTCATTTCTTTTTAAATAAATTCAATGTGGTTTTTTTGTTAAATTGACATTTAAAACTGTTATGAGTCAAAATTTAGATTTTTTACTTTACACAACTAAATATAGGTGATGAAAAATTAATTTTAATTTCGTTAATATAATTAAAGATGATTATTTTACTGTGCAATCTACTTTCAACTTTATTTAAATGGAAGACAATGTTTTAAAAAAATGAGTTTAAGTATGTTAAGATAAGACGACTTCATTTTGAAAAAATCATAAAGTCGACACAATTTTTGCTTTAATTAATTTGAATTAAAGTAACACAACTTTATCTTTTTAATCAGAAAATTATATCAGTTAAATACAACTTCTTTATAATAAAATACTACCAATCTAACACAACTCATCCGAGTTCATAATTATTTTTTAAAAGTTGTTCAGTTGGAAGTAAACTACATAAAAAAAACAATTTAAGATTACTTTCCAAGAATAGAAATTTTAGAGTACTTTCCAAGAATAGAAATTTAATATATTTTTGTGGCATATATTATTTTAAAGTGTTTAAAGTTTGTTAGAATTTTTTATATAAATAATTATTCTCCGTAAGTTATTGAGTATTGTGTTAATTATGAAAGAATATGAAATGTTGAAGAAAAGTATATTATTTGTAAGTTAGGTAACTTGTTAATAAAAGCTAACATTAGAGTATAATCCAAGTAGAACATTAAGTGGATTGCTTATACGAAGAGCATTGAAGATGCGCTAACTGAAGATGCAGTAGAACACTGGATAACGTTTCCATGTGAAAAGTGGGGCATCAAATATACAATGCATCTTAGCTCGCATGAAAAGGTCTGGCACATTAAAGGGCTCCTAAATTTTCTATTACAGTGTTTAAGAGCTGAGATTTGCGATGAAATGTACAATGCACAAAGCAGAAGCAAAGTGCCTGACATTCGTGATGAATGGATTCTGTCGTGTTACATTCCCACTAATATAATCTGCCACATACAACCAAAAGTACTAGAAAAAGTATCTAAGATAAAAAGAACATTATCCAACAGAATCATGTTTTTTCCTCTGACATAACAAGCAGCAGCCCTGTCATACACCATTTGGCTATTATTTACCAATAAAACTGTTGTCAGCACACGTCCTTACTTTGGCTTAATTTCTGACATACTTTGAATGATGAAGATTTGTGTTTCAACAAGCTTATGTTAATCATCAACATTTGGGCATGGATTAGTCAGGCTCCATTGAGTCCAATAGGATAAATTTATCTAAAACTACTTTTAAGAAAGTAACATGCTTTTCTTTTTCATAGACTAAATATACTAACAATTATTGAAGTTTTTTTCCTATTAACTTTTCAAATGTTGGTGTTTAAATTAATTTTATCGTATAGGAAGGTTTTTTTCATTGATTTTTCTTCTTATTTTCGTTTTGTAGAAACCCATCCTTCCTGAGAAATTTATTTTTTTAAATTTTTAGGGGCTGGTGTGTACAATGGGGCAAAAGAAAATTCTTCTAAATGGACAGAGAAGAGAAGAAGAAAGACAAAAAACAAAAAAACAAAAGAACCCAATAAAGAAGGCCACTCAATTGGTCCAGTAAAGAGAATGGGACTAACAACTTCAGCCATCCTTCTCTAACTGCGCACCTATTCATCTTCTCTATCTGTAAACAAAACAAGGGAGGCTGTGTAAGTAAAGATGATGAAAACAAAAAAGAAAGAAAAAAAAGGAGGTTAATGTCTGTTTCAGCAAAGTGAAGGTTAGAGAAAAGTAAGGATAAAGGGAGAATGGGAGCACTAATCTCAGCCTATCTTTCTTTTGGAGAGAAAGAACAGCATGCTAAGTATTGTATTTCAAGAACAGCTTCTGCTAGCAATTAATAGTTTATCATGGTATCGCCAACTAAATGTAGCACAGGCTCCAAGATAGTATGCAATCAGATATTTCAGTTCAACTAATATAGGCAAATCCCCTCCCTTCCAAGAGAAAAAAAAACGCTCTAGTTTAGCAGCAACCATCATTGGCACAAATATGGCAAGACCTTGAACAGACACATGTTAAAAAACACAGTTCTTCTGAGATCATGCAGAGGGTGTAGAATGTGAAGCATAAAAATGTCATGGCGATAAAAAACAGTTAGTTTGTATAGAGAATTTTTAGATACTATTTCATTTTTACGGAGAACTTTAAAATGCTTACTATATATAAAATATATTTTTTGAATAATTTTGTTTAAAGAAATTGAAATTCTAGAAATTTGTAAAAAAAGCTTATAACTTCAAATTATAGAATTTTAAGAACATAACTAATATAGATATGCAGATAAATGGGGAAGGGCAGAAGGTGATTTACGAAATTCAGTGCAAAATGTATGATGTTAAAAACCTTAAACCCGATTGATTTAGAAAATTGCTCATAAAGAAAGGTGTTATGTGACGACTAGTGGCATATTTTCGGAAAATCAATCAGACAGAGCCCTGAGTTGGCGCGTTACCTCCAAAAATAGTTTTGGCTTCATCATTAAATACTTTGCAAAGAATTTCATAACTCTTGTTCATCTGCATTTAAGGGGAAAGCAGGACTTAATAGCAGAACGTTTTCACGAGATAACAGGAAAAGGGGAAAGAAAAATTTATATACCATTGGGTTGACTTTTGAAGGTGAAGTGGCTGATATGATGTATCTGTAAATGTTTCATTATTCAACAAAACAAAAACCAAAAGGGAGGGAAAAGGAAATATATTATTAGCAAAACGTAGAAAGTAATTGGGATGTCACCTTACATTGATAACATGGGATAAAACCATGTAAGGTGATAGTTCAAAAGGCATAAAATAGAGACATTAAAACTAATTTATCCATCAACATATTAAGAAAACAAATGAGGGAGATTCTAAACAAGAAGAGGTTACAAAAGTTGAATTTAACTAATGAGAAAGCTTTGATTAATTTTATTTTCTTTTTCTACAAGTGCACGTTGAAAAGTATATTCTAACCAGGCTTATATAATGTGCGCAAGAAACATAGTTATAAGCAAATATCTAATAATTTTGAATTGATGACTCACTTTCTTTAACATATGAGGTTCAGGCTCTCAGATAACTCTTTTCAAGATACGTTCATGCATTATCAGTTAAATGTCTTACGTTTACCACGGAATCAATGTCTTATGTTGACATACAATTAGTAAGGGTAGCAGAACAGGAGCAAATGGTGATAGGGAAATTCTTTCTTCCCTTTCATCCCTATCAAACTTAACATTTTCGTCTTTTTAACAGAAAATAATTTGATGAAAGCAGGATACCAAGTGAAAATGTTACCTAAGCTTACTTATATAGAAATCCACGGCTAATACATTTGCCTTTTGAACAGTCAGCATGACAGCACCCATACAGTTCTACAAGAGACATTAGCACAGAAAATATTAGATAAGAGACCATGTTCAATGAACATAAAAGTCGTGCACTTGTCAAGACATCCAACTGAGGGCTATAGGGACTTTCAAAATGGAAATGTGGACACTGTACATTAATAATAAATGTAAATAAATTGTTCCCTGAAAGATCATAATGTTCAACAGTCCACCATCTTTTCCCAGCTTAAGAGCTGTTTCCTCTGCAGTGGCCCACCGATTCTCAATTTTCATTAATGAAAGAGGTGAAAAAAAACTCGGATTACCTTTTGCGCCATAAACTCTAGAAGTTGCATTAAAAACTTCCCCAGTCCCTTCCCCTGAACACGAGGCTCAAGCTGTAATTCATACACATAAAGCACTGGTATCTCTTCTTCTAACACGAAGCGGTACTGTACAAATCCAACCAAGGGACCACTATTCTTCAGACAGCAAGTTGAAGTCTTTGCTGCAGTAAGCATTGTTGTCATCTCATCAGCATTTGAATTGGCAACCTCATGCACAAATACATAATGTGCTTCATGATCAACCATTTCTCTGCGCTTCACCTTTTCTTCCTCTGGCCACTCAGATCCATACGGTCCTTCCATGTTTAGCTGCAGTTTGGGGAATATACAAATCAGCATTTTCACAAGATCATTCATTTCAACTAGATAACAAAAAAAAGACAGATTTTCATAGCATACCACATCAATGAATGACAACATAAACAAACAGAAATAAAATTCAGAGTTTTAATAAACTAATATTCTCTCTATTTCACTGAATTGGCTAGGTGCATTTTGTAACAGAACAAAAGCCACCTGAACAAAAGGGAAAAATGACAGATTCTCCTTTGCATTATGGTATAAACACACATTCTAAATTTTTAGTATTCTTTCTACCTTAAGGAGACTCTGAATATAAGTCTTAACAGTTGAGGAAAGTTTATTGCCATGTCCTGACTTCAAACACAAAGAGAGACCTATAAATCAGGTTAAAATAGGCACTTAGAACAACAACAAAAATATTCAAACCCAAGAATCAACATTGTCAAATTCCCATGTTGAGAATTACAAATTTACATCTCAAGAGTTATCATCAACTAAAGGTTTTTGGATTCAAGTTGAAACACCTAAACCAACATTAAATTTCTATTGAACACTGTGCCAACAAGTTTGACATTCTTTTTCAGATTCAGTTAGAAGCAAAATTCATCTTAAACTCCAGTTGACTTAAAAGCTGAAATAGTTATTTTTGTTCTACTCCAGTCCACTTCATCACAACTTAATTTTCTAACTGAAAATCAAACACACACTAATACCTCTTTTCATTGACTCATTATATAATCAATGCTAGTTCAATCTAGCTTAAATTTCGGGGGAAGATAGTACATTGTAAGAACATCAAACAAATTAATCCAAACATGCATTAAAATTGTTGGAAAACTTGTTTAGCTAGTTACAGTTTGTTGTGAATACAACTTTTACCCTTCCAATAATTCTCGAGAAATGAAATTTGTACTATAACTAATGCAACAAATTAAGAAAAAGAGGAAACAAAAAATTTGAGGTAACGACATGTAGTCTTTTGTTGTATGAATGAAAGACTAAAACACCATTTGGGTGATAAAAATGTACAATGTACAATGTTATCACATTAATCCTGAAAACAAGAAAATTCAAAACAGTAATAGTGCAATTTGTCAATCACTGTTTTTTCGTAAAGTTTTTAAATTAAATGATAATATATATTTATTTTAAATATTAAAATGATTATATATAATTAAGTCTATAGTCATATTTTAAATTTCATTGGTTTCTCTCAAGTAGTGTGACTCAGTATTACACTTTTAGGAACCATTTTACCTTAGCCGTGACTCGTAATTTTCTTGGCAACTAACTCCTGGACAAATTAACCTAATTGACTTGATTAAACAAAAATCTAACAAATTCGAAACTTTACCCTTTGCGTGGAAATGGCAAAACTCTGGAAAAGGAGCGAGGTGGTCCTTTTGTGCACGGGCGGCTTTGATGAGTTCTTCAACTGTTTTCTTCTTGGCAAGTACCTGAAAAATGGAACCAGGTAAGTAACAACGCTCTAGGATTCGTTAAAAAAAAAAACTGAGGAAGCGAGTGAGAGCTGAAACGACGCACCTCGCTGCGTTTCGGCCTCTTCTCTCCGACAGGTGCATTGTTGCAGGTGGCACTGCTTGAACGGCGTCGTTGCAGAGACTCGGATTCCATGGCCGGTGAGTGGAACAAAAAAGACTGGTAATACTAAGTGAAAAGTACAATTTAGGGCAAAAATATACTAATTAATTCGACCTGGTTATTTATTAAATTAAGAAAAAATAAATTTCCAAAATATAAAATATGTTAAAAAGATTAGGCTCATTAGATTAGTATTCATGATTAGGGTAAATCATGAATAAATCAGAAGAGTACTTTTTAAAACGAAATGTAACACACTTACATTAGATAAGTATTATGGTTGACTCGTTTATTGGTTAGGTTACAGATAGAGCAGAGTAGTGCGAAATATTTATAGTTTTTATAATTAATTATATTTTTACATGTACCTTTTAGCCTCTATAATATCTAAAATTTATTGGATTAAAATAAATTTAAAATAATATGTACAATAACTATTTTTTTTGTTTTAAATAAAACTTAAAGGTTAAGTTTTCTTACACGACTAGATGACAGCTAAATCTAATAACAGCTAAATCTAATAGTAATCATAAATTCTTACAGAGATTAATAAAATGTGGATTGATCAAATGTAAGACCATTTAAGTTTAGCTAATGACTTTAAGTTTGAAATATAAATAAATGTCTATATTTATTACTTATTAGAGCTAGGAGTTTTACTATCGATCAAAACAAATATGTTAATATTATTTCTAAAATAGTTTAATTTCTAATAATAACTTTAATTGACTTATTTAAGAACCTCTTTAAAGATGACAAAAAATATTGGGTGAGAAATTGAGCCTACTTACATGTAGACGAGTCAACATGATGATTAATTTTTATTATAATATTTTTTGATAATTTATTATTATTTTAGAAGAAAAATGTAATCCAAAAGGCTTGATGTGTAAGTTTAATTGTATTTATTGAACTTTCCAATTTTAGAATTTAATTATATTTTTTATACTTTAATTGAGTTGTTTGTTAACCCATCATTTTACCTATTGACATTTGCTTGTTTTCATTGACAAGCCAATCTTCTAATTTGCTTATTCTAATATCTTTTTCAGTTACAACCATTTCCCACTAAAAATGTAATTGACAATTAAAAATGAAAAATAAAAATATTATATAATAATACAAAATAATTTATATTCCCACTAAATCACAAATTATGCATTTAAAATAAATATATTAACATTCATAATTTCATAATCACATGGTGAAGTTTGAAACGATGCTGAAGTCGATTCTTTTAGAGAGAAAAAATGAGATTGAGAAAAGCTATTTACTTTACACAACTATGATACTTTATATTAATAATTAAAATTATTTAACCTTCATATTTTAATAAAAATTAGTAAAATAAAAAATGTAAAATTGAGATGCTAATTATTACAGTGAATGAAAGGTATTTGGATTTGGAGATTTGGATAAAGGAAGATATTTTTTTGTTATTATTTAATGTAATTTTTTAATTTTCCGTGCAGGAAGAAGCCAACTATCAACTCCCTCGCCTTCCTTCTCTTGTGTAGTATATAAAGAGGCACTCCCACACCACCATCAAACCAACAAGCCAACAACAACTCTTCTTCCCCCCTCTCTCTTTCTCTCTCTTCTCTCCACTGTTTCATGCAAAACCATTTCTAGGGTTTGCCGTTTCCGTCATTCTCCCCTTCAATTCCCCTCCTCCGGACCGCTTAGCCATGGCATTTCCGACGAAGAAGCTCATCGACGACCCTAACGGTGCGTGCGCGTCCCTCTCCCCTCCTCCCACTCCCTCTCCTCTTGCCCCGCTCAATTTTCCACTCTCTGCCAAATTCACCGCTAATCTTCGCTCTCTTTAACTCTCGCCATCGAAAATTGTTGCGCTCTCAATGTTCTTTATGTGGTTCCCTTCGGAATCGTTCTCTCGATTGTTTTTAACTGTTTGTGTTCTTTGCACTGTGTTGACTTTTTTTTCCTATTTGGACCTCGAATGTTTTAACATTAGTCTTTGACTCACAGAAATCGCTGCCTCTGTCATAAAATTTGATGCGAAACGTTGTAGACTTTATTATGGTGATTTTCTGCTAATCTAGCTGTACGAGTTCGAGAGTTGTATTCCGATTTAGGTTTTATTTCTTTTTGTATTTTTATCTTAGTAGCACTACATTTATGATTGTGTAGTATTTCCTCTTCGAGATTTTACATTATCTAGACTATATATATGTGTATGTTTTTATGTATGCGTGTATTATCTATATGACAGGAAATGTGTAGTAATCTTGTCTTGGAAACTGAATATATATGTATATATTTTAAATGTGATTGCAGATGTTGTGACTGAGTTCATTGAAGGTCTTGTGGAGACTTATCCTGGACTGCAGTATTTAGATGGCTTTCCTCAGGTGATCACACGACCTCGAGCAGAGCATCCATAGCTTGTGTATTAGTGTGATAGTTGCTTAAAGTGTTCTTTTGGTGTTTTTTCTAAATGTAGGTAAAGGTTGTGCTACGGGCAGATGTTTCCGCCGCAACATATGATAAGGTTGCAGTTATATCAGGTGTGTGACCATCCATTGGATGCTTTGTATCGCCTTACAGTTCATTCTTTCAGGAGGTCTGTCATTAGTTTTCTACTCAAAGCTTGTAGGCATTGTTATGCTAATTTAGGAAATCGGTTTGATAAATGAAGTTGCCCGAGGGTACAGAAAATGGTGGGTGGAAATAGAAGTTTTCAACCTAGAAAACATGTAAAATGAAATTTCCTAGGATGGTTTTGCAGCTTTATTTGTTCAATAATTGCATAAGTTTTACTGAGAAAATTGTGTACATCTATCTATATTTGCCTTACAGGGGGAGGAAGTGGGCATGAGCCTGCCCATTCTGGATTTGTGGGAGAAGGAATGCTTACAGCAGCAATTTGTGGAGATATATTTTCTTCTCCACCCGTTGATTCAATTCTAGCTGTATGCTTACTTCATAGTATTATAATTGAAATGTATATCACTCTTTCAGTTATAAGCATACTGTTTTTTCTACTTCTAATGCTCCTATTATTATGATCTGAAATTTAGGGAATACGAGCTGTAACTGGTCCTAAGGGATGTCTGTTGATTGTAAAGGTATTATTATTTTTTCTTTATCATTCTGCCATCCTAAATATAGGATTTTTTGCATTGGTCTTTGAGGTCAGTTTGCATATTAGAGTCGCATGTATGGAAAATGTTTTCTGCTGTGGTTTAGATAATAAGTAGTGATAAAAGTATAATTAACGTTTCTTTTTATTATAATACTTGGCATCATGTGTCCATTTTTTTAAAATACTTTACCTCTTATGAAATCAACGTATAAGATAGTGTGGCTTTGCACTAGTATGGTCAGTTCATGATGAGTCATTAGGATTTGCTTTTGTTTCTGGATTCATAGTGTTCGAATTTGGGTGTTGATAGAACTATACTGGTGATCGTTTGAACTTTGGTTTGGCTGCTGAGCTAGCAAAATCTGAAGGTTATAAAGTAGAGGTATGTCTAGCTGGCTACTGATTTCTCATTGCACTTCCAATAATTAAACATTTAATATGCTGGTAAAGTATGACGTGTATTTTTCTATGTAGACTGTTATTGTTGGGGATGATTGTGCGCTTCCTCCGCCACGAGGGATCGCTGGAAGAAGAGGTTTGGCTGGGACTATTCTGGTTCATAAGGTTAATAATACATGAAGTCACTTTTCTTTCTGCATTCTTTTTGTTGCCAATTCATATAAAGGCTCTGACCACACCTTTTCATACAAACACATGATGAGACTGTCTGGCCTGTGTATTAAAGTAAATTTCATTTCTTGAATTCATCATTATAATTTTACTTATAGCATAACAATTTTGTACTTTATTTTTATGTTATGGTTCCTAGTTGTTATATATGTACACCTTTAATGATAATTTGTTTTGACTGAGCCAGGTTGCAGGAGCGGCTGCTGCTGCTGGTCTTTCTCTTAATGATGTTGCTGCCGAAGCTAAGCATGCATCTGAAATAGTGGGAACAATGGGTGTTGCTTTGAGTGTTTGCACAATTCCTGGTCAAGTGGCATCAGATCGTCTGGGGCCTGGAAAAATGGAACTTGGTCTTGGAATTGTAAGTGTCTTTAGTTCAATACCCCCTCAACAATAATATATATAAATCTCTCGGAATATTTTTTGCAGTACTGTGGATCTGTCAATCTATGTTTAACATGAAATAAGCTCTGGCGTTGTTATTTAACTTGGGCATTCATCCCACTGCACTTGAGATAGCTCATTTTTCTTTTTACAGCATGGGGAACCTGGTGCAGCGGTGGTTGATATTCAGCCTGTAAATGTGGTGGTTTCTCATGTTCTGCAACAAATATTGTCAACGGTATGCATTGAAATTGCATGGAAATCTTTTGATGGATTATGATGCTTAATAGGGAACAAAACGCCCTTCTAACATGTACTTTACAAGCACATTGCAAAATCAAAGGAGTTGGCATGTGTGACGAACTAACTTTTGATACCCATCCTTTGACTGTTCAAGGAGAATTCTATTTGTGTCACTCAACTGAGACTGATAAATTTTACTGTTTTCAGTTCTTTTTTTCTCGTTTGTATTCATATAGAAAATGTCCCGGTGATGTATCCAAATTTTCCAATATTCTAATTCAATAAAAGTCACCTGCTAATGTTAACGTCTAAGCTTTAGTGTAAGGTTCATTTATATATTGAGGCACTGTAGAGATCCAACAAATATTTTGTGAAGTTATGTTGGTATAGATTAGAATATAAATAGGAGAGTGAAAAGGACAATACATTATTTTAACATTTCTTTTCTCTGATTTTAGTCAAAAGTAATACTGAGAAATTAAAATTAAATTGGAAAATATATTAAAATTGGAGCTTCTGACCCTACAAATATTGAACCCAGAAAACCCATTAAAGACCCATTCCCTAAGTAGCATAAAGATTCAAAATGGACTATTTTGCATGTTAAAATATAAGAACAATATCTTATAAAGGACAGAAATTGGGTGGGAATAATACAGATTGATCACAAAATTGCATATTATCCATTTACTTTTTCTTCGATGGGTCTGTTTTAAGTCAATAACTGTTTGTATCCTTGTTGGGGATGTTATCATT